TTCTCTTTTGCTTTACGGGTTTGAATTTGGAATCAACGCTTAGCCTGTGGAAGGTTATTTTCGGCGGGATTCCTGTCATATCTAGGTGGTACCAGGTGAAACAGTTTATATTGTTACTAAGAAATTGAATAAACCCTATCCTGAGTTCGGGGGTCAACCCCGTTCCCAGGTATACCTTACGATCCGGGAGGTTCTCGATTAAAATGGTCTGCTCCAGCTCTTCGACTGTTGATTTGGTCGCATCCAATTCATCGTGGGCGACGAAGGTTCAGGGGGAGAAGAAATCTTCCTCGTCGTCTTCGAGGGTCTGTACGCTTCTCTCCTCGTCCGAGACCGGGCATGTAGGGGTTGGCGCCTCATGGTGGACCGGGAATATTTCTTTCGTGGCCCGCTGTTCTCCATGTATGGTCGTGATGCCATTCCTCGTGGGAAACCTTATCACCTGGTGCAAGGTAGAGGGCACTGCCCTCATGTTGTGTATCCAAGGTCTGCCGAGTAAGGCGTTGTACCTCATGTCGTCGTTGATGACCTGGAACTCGGTGTTCTGGATCACGCCAGACGTGTTGATCGGAAGGGTGATCTCTCCTTTCGTTACTTTGCCGGTCATATTGAAGCCGTGGAGGATTTGAGGGACGGGAACGGCTTGATTGAGCAGCCTCTGCTGTTCTACTACTTTTGATCCAATTATATTGGCCGAGTTGCCCGGATCCACGAGTACGCACTTTATCATGGTATTGTTTAAGAGAAACGAGATCACTAGCGTTGTGCAGGTCCATCATGGCCTCAAGGTCTTCCTCGCTGAATATGAGGGTATCTTTGGGCACGTGGTTTCGGATCGGTCTTTCTTCTGTAGTGGATGTTCTCGTTCGTTTGAACATGGGTCCTTGGGAAATGCTGGTTCCCCCAATAATCATGTGGACGTCATGTTGGGGAACCTTCCCTTCCGTCCGGGTTGAATTCGGTGGTGTACCGCTATCTGGGGCAGTCGTGTCCTTCTCTATGTTGTTCTCAAGGTTCCGGTTTCCCATTTTACTAACCGAGCTAGGCGCTATGTCCTGAAATCGAAGATCTTGGACCAGAAAAAGTGTTAAAGATAACTTGCGTTTTTGTAATGAAACCGGCAAGAAAATAATCACTATTATTTTTAGCCCCATGGTGGGCGTCAAACTGTTTACCGTGAAAATGGTAACGACAATCAAATTTGTAAATGGGACTCTAAAAATACGTTATCTATTTTTATGCTAGTTGTTAGAGCAGTTGATGCTAGGAATATGAAGTTTGACGAAGAGATACAAGCTAAAACGGGGCAGTAATCAAACCGAGGGGCTTGCTGCCCGGGCTTCGAACTGGTCGATGAAGGGCCTCGGGGTCGATATCCGGCTCGAGCTCGAGCTATCAGGGGTAACCGGGGAAGGGATAACAGTTAGAATATAATTGAAGAAGGCTCTTTATGGCCAATACCAAGCAATAAATAAAGAATAAGTATGAAAGCAATAGACGCTAAGAGTGACCTTGAGCGAGTAAGTTAGAGAAGAAGAGAGAGAGAAATATTATTGATCTTGTGTAGAATAGTTGGAGCAATAGCAGCCCGGGCTTTACTAAGTGATTGGGATCCCCTTTATGTAGGAGGGGAATCCTGTTATAGTACAAAATGTGTTAACTATAAAGACATGGAGATAGGACGGCTTACGTGACATCTTGAGATAGGCCCCGTATAGGTCAGCCCTGTCAGATTAAGCCATGTGCCTTGGGAACTTCCTTCTTGCCTGTTATAACCTGCTACAACCATTGGAATGCAATGCCCTCCGGACCGGTACCTGACAACCCCCGAGGGTGAGTCTCGACCTTGGATTTGAGCTTCGAGGAGCATGACCGCGAGACGACCTTATGACGGGGAAATCGGGCCCCCGAATTTTCCGTATATAGATAGGTGGTTGTTGCTCCAACTATTCAGCACAAGATCAATAATATCTCTCTCTCTCTCTCTCTCTCTCTCTCTCTCTCTTTGTGTTGTTACCATTTTCACGATAAGAAATAGAGCTAGGACGGGGACGTGACATCTTGAGATAGGCCTCGTATAGGTCATCCCTGTCAGATTAAGCCATGTGCCTTGGGAACTCACCTCTTGCCTGCTATAGCTTGCTACAGCCGTTGGAACGCAATGCCCTCCGGACCGGTACCTGACGACCCCCAAGGGTGAGTCTCGACCTTGGTTTCAAGCTTCTAGGAGCATGACCGCGAGACGACCTTATGACGGGAAAATCGGGCCCCCGAATTCGTCGTATACAGATAGGCGGTTGTTGCTCCAACTATTCTACACAAGATCAATAATCTCTCTCTCTCTCTCTCTCTCTCTCTCTCTGTTGTTACCATTTTCACGATAAGAAATGGAGCTAGGACGGGGATGTGACATCTTGAGATAGGCCTCGTATAGGTCAGCCCTGTCAGATTAAGCCATGTGCCTTGGGAACTCACCTCTTGCCTACTATAGCTTGCTACAGCCGTTGGAACGCAATGCGCTTCGGACCGGTACCTGACGACCCCCGAGGGTGAGTCTCGACCTTGGTTTCGAGCTTTGAGGAGCATGACCGTGAGACAACCTTATCACGGCGAAATTGGACCCCCGGATTCGAAGGAAACGGGAGTTCAGGATCGTTTCTTATCGTTTCTTGCTTCTTTCACCCTAAGAAACGCGGAGACTATCTGTATACGGCGATTTCGGGGGCCCGCTTTCCCCGTCATAAGGTTGTCTCGCGGTCATGCTCCTCGAAGCTTGAAGCCAAGGTTGAGACTCACCCTCGGGGGTCGTCAGGTACCGGTCCGTAGGGCATTGCATCCCAACGGCTGTAGCAGGCTATAGGAGGCAAGAAGGGAGTTCCCAAGGTACATGGCTTAATCTGACAGGGCTGACCTATACGGGGCCTATCTCAAGATGTCATGTCAGCTATCCTATCTGCATGTCTTTACAGTTAACACATTTTGTACTATAACGGGATTCCCCTCCCCACTCAGGGGATCACCATCACTTTGTAAAGCCCGGGCTGCTGTTGTTCCAACTATTCTACACAAGATCAATAATATATCTCTTTCTCTTTCTTCTCTAACTTACTCGCTTGAGGCCACTCTTAGCGTCTATTACTTTCATACTTGTTCTTCATTTATTGCTTGGTATTGGCCATAAAGAGCCTTCTTCAATTATATTATAATTGTTATCCCTTCCCCGGTTACCCCCGATAGCTCGAGCTCGAGCCGGATATCGACCCCGAGGCCCTTCATATACCANTTACTTTCATACTTGTTCTTCATTTATTGCTTGGTATTGGCCATAAAGAGCCTTCTTCAATTATATTATAATTGTTATCCCTTCCCCGGTTACCCCCGATAGCTCGAGCTCGAGCCGGATATCGACCCCGAGGCCCTTCATCTACCAGTCCGAAGCCCGGGCAGCAAGCCCCTCGGTTTGATTACTGCCACGTTTTAGCTTGTATCTCTTCGTTAAACTTCATATTCCTAGCATCAACTACTCTAACAACTAGCATAAAAATAGATCACGTACTTTTAGAGTCACATTTACAAATTTAATTGTCATTACCATTTTCACGGTAAATAATACTGCACTCTCATCCGCATACCTTGAAGTTACCTTTCTATTTTTCCTATAACTGTTTATTTGTATTAAACAATATTATTTTTCATTTTAGACGTTGTATTTAGTAATCCTTAAAATCTCATCATGTACCCTATGACATCAATTTTTAGGGAGTTGATTAGACTTGTTATATAACTTCTGAGCTTTATCTTTAACTATGATATATGTTGTTTAATGTTAGTTTTGATATCTCTTATTATGGTAAAGTATTGGCTTCCCTAGCTAGCAGTGCTAGGCGCCATCACGATCTCTTGATTGGGATTTTGAGTCGTGACAGATTGTTTAGTATTTTATATAGAAAAGGTAGTATTTATTATTATTTCTTGTAAGGATATTCTAAATTTTTTTAAAAAAATAAAAAATTATCGAGGAGGATTGTAATAATATACTTGGAATTATTTTTTCTTTAGTAAGATTCAAATTGTATTATTTTAATGCATATTATTACAGTTATTTGTTTATTTGTACTTCTTTTAAATATCGACTACGCTTACGAAAAAGTATGCGTACGCCAATATCGACTACTCTTGCGAAAAATTATGCAATATCGACTACTCTTGCGAAAAATTATGCGTACACTTCTGAGCGCAATTTAGCTCAAGTTCAAGTTCAGGTGTTTGACCCTTAATTCAGATGCCTAAAGAGTTTAAACTTATAATTTAAGTCATTGTAGCAAACTATGTGTGCCTTACATACTTTCATATTTATTTATTATCATGAGCAATTTAATTCTATTATCGTCTGAAACTAAAGAAAAGTTAATTTTTCGTTTATTTCTAAGTTGATGCGAGCATGTATTATTATTATGTATACATACACACGTATATAGCCTTAAGGGGAGGTAAAGCAACTCTGCAATGGATTCTAGTTGGAGAAATTAAGATTGGACTTTCTTCTCTGATTAAGCTTTGCAACTACAGTCACATAGCAGCGGCCCCTATTGGTTAAACTTCTTGTTAATTTTTCTTTTATTTCTGAATTGATATTAGGATGTATACATTCGTTTTATCTTAATCCATCCATTTTAAAAAGAATAAAATTACTATATGGAATGTCAACAAAAAAATTTGACCATACTTTTTTTACAATAAATTTTAAATATTTTAAATTATTAATTATAATATTTTGTATACAATATCTTCAAAAAAAAAAATTATTATCCAATGTCGGATAAATAAGGCATTTTGACCCTCTTAAAGAATTTCAAACAAATTGAAACAATCAATTGACCCCCGTGAAAATTTTGAAACAAATTGAAACAGAGGAAATATAATTGAACAATCATTTTCGCAATGCGAAAGTAAATAAACACAAACAGTATCGACGAGGTAACCCATACAAGACTTGAGGGGACACTAAACAGTAGTTGCTGCGCGGCCTTAAAAACACAAGGGATAACATACAACATCTCCATGACTATAACTGACTCCTACTATTATACAAGCTAAAGCAAACATTAAACTAGCAATGTGTCGGGTTGCTTACAAGTGGCAACCAATACAAAACAAAAAGTGGTCAGTAAAGCACAACACATGGAATATACTCTTAAAAGTGGGAGATAAAGCAGCAAAACTATCCTTACGATCGATTCTAGTTACAGAAATTAAGATTGTTGTTGACTCCTTTCGTTTAGCCTGGCAGCAACAGTCACAGAAGCAGCAACACCACCAGGAGTAGTGGACATGTCTTGTTTGTTGCGTATCTCCGCGCCTACCACTCCTTCTGCATCCTGCCTTGTCGCTGGCCTATCTGCTGGCAACACCGTAGTAGCACCCTGCAAAAAGAAGTCCTAATAACATGAACAAACAGCAAGAAAATATTATCTCTAAAATTCATTGGAGATACGTTGTATGCTTCTTACCGATAAGACATCTCCAAGCTTAACTTTGTCCTCGTCTCTCATCATAGATTCATTATAGGCTGCAGCCGACTGAGCAGCCGCTGCAACCCCTCCAGGAGTGATAACATTGCTGCCTGTTGCTCTTATTTCAGCTGCTTGTATTGCTGCTGCATCGCTCTGATCTATTGGTTTGCCCGGTATTGTTTGTGCAGTTGCTTCAAGAGCTTGTCCTACTGTTATCCCTCCACCTCCCTGTTGCTGTCCTCCTCCTCCGCCACTGCCTTGTTGTTCCTCTACTCCTCCTCCGCCTTGAGCCATCCCTCCTGTTGGCTGGATGTATTGTCCAACTACCTGAGGATGCAACTTGTTAAAAACAGTAGTTTTATACTAATACTGAAAGGGTCCAAATCTTTTATTCTAGTAATATTCAACTAAATTACTAGTTTTATCAAATTAGTAACTAATGAACTTGTTATAATTAAAGGAAAGTCTTGGTGTAACAGGTAATCACAGGTTTAAGTGATGAAAATAGACTTGAAAATAGTCTCAAGTCATGAAAACAACCTCTTACATAACCCCATAATAAAACTGCATAAAGACCGAACCCCGCCCGTAATAGAATTTAGGTTTATGGATTCCTACAAAAATCTCGTGTTAGTATACATACTAACTGGATAAACGAACTGGGTTCCGAGCTAAATATTCTTCTAGCTTTAATAAATTTTTCAATATAAATACAAGTTCTAGACAAAAGCTACTGGGTTCACGGGAAGCCGTAGGTATTGAATTAAATCCGCCCCTGCCCGCACATAAATGAAAATAATAAAAATAATCTCTTATAGAATGCATGATAAAATTGTATAAAGACCGAACCCGCATATACCCGCACATAGATCTCTTATAGAAACGCATGATAAAGCACATAGATGCATAATCTCTTATAGAAACGCCTGATAAAACTGCAAACCCCACACATAGATGAAAATAATCTCTTACAAAAACGCATGATAAAACTGCATAAAGGCCGAACCCGCACATAGATGGAGTGTTCTTTTTATATTTTTAGTATAATTAAGTTAGATGTTAGCTGATTGGTGTAGTTTTTACTTTATTAGTGTATAAAATTTAAGCTTAAATAAAAGGAACCGTACTCAATATATTGGAATAAAATTAATCATACAACGTTAATTACCTGGCCGGCAACTGATTCAGTGGTTATATTAGCTCCAGGAACGGCAGTCCCAGTGACGGTGACACCCTCTCGAGCGGCAACATCAGTAACGTCACCAGGTTTAACAGCACCAGCACTGATATTATAATTAGCTGCAGATTGCATGGCAGCTGCTGGACCACCCCTTTGCGTTTGCCCAAGCACAGCCGTTTCAGCACTCTGCATCATGGCTGCATCTTCTGGCTTAACAGCCTTCTCCCCTAGCTCGCCAGAGACACCAAAAACGTCGGCGTATTTAATAGGGTCCCCTTCACCCTGTGGCCTTCTTGGTTGTTCTTGACTCATTTTTTTCTTGGCTAAAATTCTCGAGACTTAATTCACTTCGAATTACAAGATGTCGGATATGGCTCGCTCGAGAAAATTAAGACAAAGATATAAATGTGGAAGTAGGCTTGTTTGGGTGGAGACGAAGATTTTTGGGACAAGTGGCTATTGAAGAAGTGTGTGGTGGCGTAAATGTTAGATGTGGCAGCTAAAGAGTGAAGCTTAGGTGGCAGCACGCCACTTGTCAAACTACACCTTCTCTATGGCAGCGTGTAATGTTCCTTATCCACTGCTTTGTATAATTTATAGGGCCTACCGATTTTGCTATTTGATCGAGACAAGGGAACTGCGTCGAGGAGTAGCCTCGTAATGAATCAGATCAGAGCACGAAGACGAGGCATCGAGTCCAAGGGTCGAGGTGCCTGTCGAGATCGAGGCCAGCAGCGACCAAGATCAAATATGATAGACTTCGAGCGAAACATAATAATGGAAAGGCGAGATATTCGTGACTGGAGATCATGACGTAAATCTCGGAACAGATCAAATCAAGGGCGGTTATCTAGTTAATCATGGGATTTACTTCCATAGTTTGATTCCTCTAATATATAAAGCGGGTCATAATCATCTTGTAGATGGACATTGATACAGATCAAAGCAATACAATATTCTCTCTTTAATTCTCTTGTTTATCAGTTTGCGGTTTTTAACTGTTCTTGCTTTACTAGCTCGAGGGTATTCCAACTCGAGGGATCTGTTCAAACTGGTTTGCTTTACATTATTATCTATTCCCATTACTTTTCTTTACGTCTCTCAATTAGTATTAAGTATGGGTGTTTAACGGGTGGGTCGGGCCGGGCTGGGTAGGGAAATTTAGTACCCGTATGGGTTATGGTCCGGGGCGGTTACGGGTTGGGGCATACCGGGTTCATCCGGGTAAAAATTGAACCGTAAGGGTTACGAGTTCATGGGGCCGGGTTAGTGTTATTTTTAATTTTTTTTTGTATTTTGTATAACTATTGTAAGTTATATTAATATAAAGTAAAAATATAAAGAATACAATGAAGATGAGAAAAAATTGCACTTATAAAGTGCTACATTTATTTCAAAATTCAAACTTAAAAATTGAAAGGTTTACATTTAACAACAAGTAAATTAACCAAAAAAAAGAGTAAATTCAAAGGTTTTGCATTGCCTAAGTAAGTTTTTCATAATCAATATGAACTGAGTGACCTTCTTCTGCAGTGTTAAATTCGGATGGGTTACCATGTGTTAATATATCTCCAAGTTCCTCGTCTTCTGGGCTATCAACATCTTCACGTCCTTGATTTCTTCGTTCCGATCTAATCCAATCTCTGAAACATACTAAAACTTCCAAAGCAAATGCTTCCCAATGAGTGACGGGTGTCTCCAAGTTGTTGTCTTGCTTGGCTAATTAAATGCACTCTCTGATACAACAGTTGAAATTGGCACATTCAGCACGTCCCGAGCCATAGCGAAAAGAACAGGAAATTGTTTTCCATTCTCATGTCACCATCCCAACGGTGAAAATTCCTTTGTGTGAGGCTCTTTTTGCTTCTGCAAGTAGAATTGAAGTTCATCAATGTTCCTGTTACTGGTTTGAGTGTTAGAAAATGTAGAAAAAATATTATAACTATCAAGGCCTTCTTCATCATCCACATTAGCACAAGTGGTACAGTGCATAGTGGGATTAACATTGCCTACATTAAGAGTAGCATCATCAATTACATTTGCATAATAATTATATAATTATTGTAAAGATTCATTTAGCTTGTTCATACAAGCATATAAATCTGGGGTTTCAGTTGGTCCAATCTCCATATAAGTATATAAAGCATTCATTAATTGGTGACAATCAGACATCTTAATAGAAGGATTTAAAACAACACCAATTAAGTAAATCGGAGGAATTGGAAAGAAATATTTTTTGAATTTTGCTTGCATTTTTTCAACAACATCGCTATATTTTTCTTTCTTCTTAAATTCAAAGAGTAGAAAAGAAACTTCAGCTATATGTACTTAAGCTAAAGTAACAGTAGGGTAATATGCTCCAGAAAACTCAACAGTAGTTGTATAAAATTTATGTAAAAATTTAACAACATCATTAACGACCTCCCAAGTAGTAGTTATTAACATACGGTTTGGATCAGTACAATGCACATTAGCAACTTCAGTTATTGGGAATCAATATTTGTAGCAACATTTTAAAAATATATATGTATAATTCCATTTAGTAACAATTTCGTCTGGCATGAATTTTGTCATGACCCAAAACCACTAAGGGTCGTGATGGCGCCAGACACCGCCGTTAGACAAGCCAACCAAAATACTTAATCAAATGCACGTTTTAATAATTTTGAAAACTATAAATTTTCCTTCAGTTCTACTAGTAAAAGGTAATCAATTCAAATTAAATATAAATGTTAAGAAGTTAATACAAGATACCCAATAATCATCCCAAAACCCGGTGTCACAAGTGCATGAGCATTTACTAGGGAATGACATAAAATACAGTAACTGTCCGGAATACAAGTGGACAGAAATAAAAATACAGTACAATACTCTGAATAAGACTCTGCTGGCTGCGGGTCGTCTCGATAATTGCAGCTCACCTAAGTCTTCGTATCAACCATGCCGCTATGCCACTAAGCCACCAGCCACACATGAACCTGTGCAACAAAAATGCACAGCAAGTGTAGTATGAGTACGAAAACAACGTGTACCCAATGAGTATCCCATATAATCTCGAAGAAGTAGAGACGAGAGGTCGATTTCGACACTTACTAGTGGTCCAATAGTAATATCTTATTAATACGAATAATCATGGATTTATTGAAAACGGCAGTAAGTTCAAATAAGTTACGAAACAGGTAAATGTTCCTTCTTATATTAAAAAGTCTCCGAATTCATAATCTATTAATTATCAATTTATCTCAAGTCAGGGAGAGCAAATATCAATTTCAATGAATCTCAAGGCAAGCAATACAAGTATGCGCAAATCATGCCGAGGTCGTATGGCCCGATCCAACATAATGTAAAATGTGCACTGCCGAGGGTCGAACGGCGCGAACCATAGATGCATCTATTTAATCTACCGAGGTGTTCGGCCCGTTCCAAAATTAAACACATAACAGACAGTCAATCAAGAAGTCAACATGGAACAATTATCCAAAGAAGAGTCGATTCTCTTTTAACAATTTTATAAAAAAAAATGAAGTTTAATCCTTTTAGAAATTCATTTACCAATTCGATAGGATTTAAGCAATTAATATGTCAACAAGGTTACAAATATTCCAAGTATATAGCATGTTTTTGGGTCCTAGACTACCCAGACTTACATAATAATAGTAGCTACGCACGGACTCTCGTCACCTCGTGTGTACGTAACCCCTACAAATAGGAGCACATAACCAATTATTTTACCTATGGGGACAATTCCCTCTTACAAGGTTAGAAAGGAGACTCACCTCGCTTCGAAGCCTATATTCCAATTCAAGAACGCGCTCAAACCTCCAATTTGGAGCCGAACGATCCAAAACTATTCAAATAGGATAAGAACTAGTCAATACATGCTCAAAAGTTGATATTCTAACTATTAAACCAATTTCCCGACCCTAAATGCAAGGTTCCTAAAATTCATCCCCGGGCCCACGTGCCCGGATTCCGAAAATTTTTGAAGAAAATTGTTACTCATAACCTAAGGATCAAGAATATATGATTTTTACTCCATTCCCTAACAAATTTCGTGGTTAAATCTTGTTTTTACCAAATTCTAGGTTTTCATCTAAAACCCTTGATTTTCCCTAATTTTCACATGTTAATCCACCCATAATCTATGTATTTAACTCATGTTGTGTAGAAATTACTTACCTCTTTAATAATGATGGAATCCCTCCTCAAATGCTCTCAAAAATCGCCTAAGGCCTAGTGGGAAATGAAGGAAATGGGCTAAGTCTCGGGATAAAAAGCCCTGAGTTCCAGTCGCAGATATCGCATTTGCGACATCCGTCTCACAAATGCGATGTCGCATTTGCGACAATTGCATCATAAATGCGACGCCTAGCCAACCCTGCCCTGGTCGCATTGTCGACAAGATTCTTCGCAAATGCGAAGGTGACAGCCTCGCAAAAGCGATCCTTCGTTTGCAAATGCGAACTTCCCCTCAGAAGCCCAGTCTCGCAATTGCGAATTCCATCTCGCAAATGTGATGATCGCATTTGCGACCATAATATCGCAATTGTGATCATACCAGTACCAGCAATCCTATTTCTTAGCAATTCATTCTGAAGCTATCCCGAATCTCACCCGAGCCCCCGGGGCTCCAAACCGAACACCCGCACAAGTCCAAAAATATAACACGGACTTGCTCGAAGCCTCAAATCACATCAAACAACGCTAAAACCATTAATCGCACTCCAATTCAAGCTTAATGAACTCTAAAATTTTAAACTTCTACTTTCGGTGTTTAAACCTATCAAATCACGTCCGATTGACCTCAAATTTTGCACACAAGTCATATTTGACATTATGGACCTAGTCCAACTTTCGGAATCAAAATTCGTCCCCGATATCAAAAAGTCAACTCTCGGTCAAACTTCCCAAAAACCTTCAAATTTCTATCTTTAGCCAAATGACTCCAAAATGACCTAAGGACCTCCGAATTCACTTCCAATCGCACTCCCAATACCAGAATCACGATACGGAGCTATTCCAAGACTCGGAATGCCAAACGGACATTGATAACACTGAAATGCACTTCAATCCAAACTTATGAAATTCTTTCAAAAATGCCAACTTCCACAATAGGTGTCGAAATGTTCCCGGGTCTTCCAAAACCCTGTCCGAACATACGCCCAAGTTCGAAATCATCATATGAACCTGCTGGAACCTTTGAATCCCAATTCCAAGGTCGTTTACTCAAAAACCCAAACTTAGTCAATTCCTTCTACTTAAAGCTTCCGAAATGAGAATTCTCTTTCCAAATCAACTTCGAGTTCCCCGAAATTCAATTCCGACCATGCGTACAAGTCATAATACTTGAAATGAAGCTGCTCATGGCCTCAAACTACTGAACGACGTGCTAGAGATCAAAACGACCGGTCGGGTCGTTACATTCTCGCCCAC